AATAAAAATCGAATCTACCATTTTTTTGTTTTTTGTTTTTTTTAGATGTACATGAAGCTGAAAAAGCAATCGTCTTATTACGGAATTCAGTAGAATTCGGCTAACCCATACATATCGGTACGAGGGCGACATCAGAGAAACCAACGAACAAGTACGTGATCTTAGAAGATTAGCAAAAAAAATTCCAACAATAATAATGTAGTATTTGGGAATCTACGTGTCAAAAAGCTCAATAAAAAATAGGACTAGGATAGATAAATAGGGGCTCAATTCGGAAGAGGAGGGAGAAATGCAAGCAAGCTTTAGGCGATATGCACCATCAACACAAGGACGGGATAATATATACTACATTTCATTCAACCATCATTTCATCTAATAAGCTAATTTTAACCACCCCCTGAAGTAATTGCAGCAAAAACCAAGTGGAAGTCGCACCCCTTGAAGTGGTATACTGCGAGTGCGAAGGAGGAAGAACCGAGGACACGCGCAGCGGAAGATGGAGCGACAGGTAGGCGCAGCGGCGGCGGGTGCAGCGGTGGCATATGCAGAGGCGGCAAGTGAAGCGGCGGCAGGGGCGGCGGCGACAGGTGCGGCGGGGGCAGGTGCGGCCACGGCAGGTGTGACAGTGGCAGGTGCAAGGGCGAGAGGAGGAGGAGGAGAGACGTGCCAAGAAGAGGAGATGGGCCGCTAAGGAAGGGCATCCGAATCCCTTAACCCGCCTCGCTCGCCACCCCATTGCCTCCCCCCCACAGCGGCAGACGCAACAGGGGGGCAGATTGGGCGGCAGTTGGCGCTGCAGACTCACGGCTGCCACCTCAACATCCTCCCCCTCAAAGCGGCAGCCGCAGCAAGGAGCATGATGGGCACGGCAGCTGCAGCGGACGTGCGAAAGATGCGGCAGCAGCAATAGCCTGTTATTATCCATTATGGCCGCCAACCCCGCCGCCTCCCCTTACATCAACAGCTGCTGTCAAACTATCATGTTGTGTAGGCTGTAGTGGGGTTAGCCCATATGGGGTACAACCCAATTAGGGTTTGCTACTTGTACTCCTGCATGCTGTTAGTTCACCATTCTCGCTTACTGATTCTGACATGGTTTCAGAGCAGGTCCTGACCTAGGACCGTCTTTTTTTTTTTAGAGCCCACCGAATCGTTCCCTGCCCGTAGCGCGTTACTCTGCCCGTAGCGCCCTACCGTGTTCCTCGCGCTGCCCCACCAGTCGCGTTACCCTGCCCGCGCGCCGCCCTGCTGGCTGCCGCGCTGCCTTGCCCTGCCCTGCGTTGCGCCGCCCCGCGCACGCCCTGCCCTGCGTCGCGCTGCCCGCGCACGCCCTGCCCTGCCCCGTGTCGCGCCGCTCTGTGCACACCCTGCCCTGCGTCGCGCTGCCCGCGCACTCCCTGCCCTGCCCCGCGTCGCGCCGCCCTGCGCACGCCCTGCCCGTCGTATCGCGCGCCCCTGCTGCCCGTTTGCGTCGCGCGCCCCTGCTGCCCGTCGCGCCGTGCGCCCCTGCTGCCCGTCGCGTCGCGCGCCCCTGCTACCCGTCGCGCCATGCGCCCCTGCTGCCAGTCGCTGTCGCGCCGCCCGTGTGCCCCTGCTGCCCGTTGCGTCGCTCGTGCGGGCTGCCCCAGCCCGTCGCGTCGCCCGTCCGACCTGCCTCTGCCCGTCGCGTCGCTCGTGCAGGCTGCCCCAGCCCGTCGCGTCGCCCGTCCGCCCTGCCTCTGCCCGTCGCGTCGCCCGTGCGGGCTGCCCCAGTCCGCCGCGTCGCCCGTCCGCCCCGCCCCTGCCTGCCCGCGCGCCGCCCTCTGCAGCCCGCGCGCCGCCCTGCTGCCCGCGCTCCGCCCTGCCCCTGCCCATCGCGTTCGCCTTGGCAGCCTGCGCGCCGCCCTCTGCAGCCCGCGCGCTGCCCTTGCCTGCCCGCGCGCCCTCCTCTGCCCGCGCGCCGCCCTACTTGCAGCGCGCCGCCCTGCTCTGGCCGCGCACCGCCCTTCCCTGACCGTGCGCCACCCCGACCTACCCTAGTGCCTGCTCGCCGCCCTGCCTTCCCTGCGTACTGCCGTGCTGGTCGCACACCTCCTTGTTTTGCCCGCTATGACGTCTTTTTCGTGGTAGCGGTGGGAGTGGTGGCGGCGGTGGTGGCAAAAGTGGGAGTGGTGGCAACAGTGGGAGTGGTGGCGGCGGCCGTGGTGGCAGTCTCGGTGGAGCTGTTCGGTGGGGAGTTTCTGGCGGTGGCCAGATGCAGCTCCAGCGGCGTCCCGCGCGAGACCCTCACGCCCCAGCAGCTTCGTGAGTGGTACGCTAGTTGGAGTAGTGGCGGCGGCCCTACTGGCAGTCGCCGTGGAGCTGTTCAGTGGAGAGGTTCTGGCGGTGGCCAGATGCAGGTGCAGCGGTGTCCGCGCGAGACCCTTATGCCCCAGCAGCTTCGTGAGTGGTACGCTCAGCGTGGGGCGTCTCGGAGTACTGCTCGGTGCCCGTACGTCATTCGCACAGGTGATCGGGTTGGTCAGACTTGCGGGATAGTTGGTCACACACAGTCCCACTGCTTCTCCTGTCTGAGCGACGCCTGGCGTGCAGATTTTGGCGACGGGGCTGAGCTCCCCCGCTGGCTGGAGCTGCTTAGGCAGAGGGTGGATATCTTTGCTCTTGACTATGATTCTATCCTCACTGCCATGTATGCATTGACTGTTAGTGATGAGGGTGACTGTTACCTGTGTGTGCCGCCCGACCCAGGTATAGAGGCTGCTGCTCTAGGTGCTAGTGAGTCTGCTGCTCTAGGTGCTAGTGAGTCTGCTCTCTCTGGTACTGCGCCTGCTGCGGCCTTGCACACCTTCACGCTTGACTCAGGTGCTTCCCGCTGTTTCTTTCGCGACAGTACCACAGTCACACCACTCCCTACACCTGTTGCTGTCTCTCTGGCTGACCCCTCTGGGGGCCCAGTTCTTGCACGTTCCTCCACTGTTCTCCCGTGTCCGGCGGTTCCGTCTGGCTCACTGTCAGGTCTTCACCTCCCCTCGTTCTCTACGAACTTGGTGAGCAACGCCATCCTTCAGGATGAATGGGTTGATACCTTCACCCCTGGAGGACAGCGTGTGGTGATCTGTACGTGCTCCCGGGCTGGCCGTCACCTGGCCACGTTCACCCGTCGGCCTGGGTCGAGTCTGTACACACTGACTACTGAGCCTCCCCAGGACGCTGCGTCTGTGTCTGCGTCAGGTCAGATAGCGCCCCCCTGCTTTTGTCGCGCCCTGTCGCACCAGACGCTCCTTTGGCACCACCGCCTTGGTCACCCCTCCGTGCCACACCTCCGTGGCATGCACTCCTGTCTCGTTGTCTCTGGTCTTCCCAGGTCTCTGCCTCCCCTCCCACCCTCGCTTGCCCCTCCCTGCCTTCCCTGTGTCAAGGGCGGCAGTGCGCCGCTCCTCACTCCTCCTCGTTTTCCCCCGACGACTGCTCCCCTGCAGACTCTCCACATGGACGTGTGGGGCCCAGCCCGCGTCTGTGGACAGGGCCGCGAGCGCTACTTTCTGCTGGTTGTAGATGACTACTCGCGTTACACCACGGTCTTCCCCTTGCGCAGCAAGGGGGAGGTCCCTGATGTTTTGATCCCTTGGATCCGCGCTGTCCGTCTCCAGCTACGCGAGCGGTTCCACGCGGACCTTCCAGTCCTGCGTCTGCACTCTGACAGAGGTGGTGAGTTTTCCTCCGACCTCTTGCGGGACTTTTGTCGTGGGGAGGGCATTCTCCAGTCGTTCACGCTTCCGGCCTCTCCGCAGCAGAATGGGGTTGCTGAGCGCTGCATTGGCTTAGTCATGGAGGTCGCTCGTACCTCCCATGATCCATGCGGCTGTCCCCCACTTTCTGTGGCCGTTTGCGGTCCGGTACGCTGCGCATTAGCTCAACCTCTGGCCCCGTGTCTCCCTTGCCTGAGACCTCGCCTACACTGTGTTGGACGGGGAAGGTTGGCGATGCGTCGGTGTTCCGGGTCTGGGGCTCTCGTGCCCTTGTCCGCGATACGTCCGCGGACAAGCTCTCCTCCCGCGCCATTCCCTGCGTCTTCCTTGGCTTTTCCCCCTGACGCGCCTGGCTGGCAGTTTTACCACCCCACCTCGCGCCGTGTCCTGCCCTCTCAGGACGTCACGTTTTGACGAGTCGGTTCCCTTTTACCGTCTCTTCCCCTACAGCACTGCCCCTCTCCCCCCCCCGCCGCTCTTCCTTGCACCAGGTCCTTCTCCGGTAGACCCCCTCCCCCCTCAGGGTCCTGCTCCCTCAGGTGTGTCTTAGGTAGACCCTGTCGAGCATGTCGAGGGTTGCTGTCGACTCTGGTGCTGCTGGGGGTGGTGCTGCTAGGGGTGCTGCGCCTGGGGTTGCTGAGTCTGAGGGTGCGGAGCCTGGGGGTGCTGAGCCTGAGCGTGCGGAGCCTGGGGGTGCTGAGCTTGGGGGTGCTGAGCCTGAGCGTACTGAGCCTGGGGGTGCTGAGCTTGGGGGTGCTGAGCCTGAGCGTGCTGCCCCTAGAGGTACTTTGTCTACTGGAGGTTCTCCGGGTGCCTCGTCACGGCGGGAGACTCTCTCTCCACCGCAGCTGCGCGAGTGGGTTTGCTCGGCGCTGGAGCCTTCGGAGTGACGCTGCTAGAGCTGGGGGGGCTGCCGCTGGAGACCCTGGAGCTGGAGGCACTGGAGCTGGAGGTACTGGAGGTGCTGGAGCTGCTGGTCCTGGAGGTGCTGGAGGTACTGGAGGTTCTCCGGGTTGCCTCGTCCCGGCGGGAGCCTCTCTCTCCACCTCAGCAGCGCGAGTGGTTTGCTCGGCGCTGGAGTCTTCAGAGTGGCGCTGCTGGAGCTGGGGGGCCTGCCGCTGGAGGCCCTGGAGCTGGAGGCCCTGGAGCTGCTGGTCCTGGAGGTGCTGGAGGTGCTGGAGCCGCTGGTCCCGGAGGTGCTCGTACTGGGAGGTACTGGAGCTGCTGGAGCTGGTGGTGTTGCACGTACTGGAGCTGCTGGAGCTGGAGCTGATGGAGGCGCTGGAGCTGGAGCTGCTGGAGGTGCTGGAGCCGCTGGTCCCGGAGGTGCTCGTACTGGAGGTACTGGAGCTGATGGAGCTGGAGGTGCTGCAGGCGTTGGAGCTGGAGGCACTGGAGCTGTTGGAGCTGGAGGCGCTGGAGCTGGAGGCGCTGGAGCTGGAGCTGCTGGAGGTGCTGGAGCCGCTGGTCCCGGAGGTGCTCGTACTGAAGGTACTGGAGCTGCTGGAGCTGGCGGTGCTGCAGGCGTTGGAGCTGGAGGCGCTGGAGCTGGATCTACTGGAGCTGGAGGTGCTGCAGGCGTTGGAGCTGGAGGCGCTAGAGCTGGAGACCCTGGAGCTGGAGGTGCTGGCCCTGGTGGTGCTGGTGCTGTCGGTGCTGGTTCTGGAGGCACTGTGCGGCCGCGACCGTACTTCGTTCCACTGATTCAGCAGGTTCTTGGTCTCCCCGCCTTCTACTGGCCTTACTCCTCCCTTACTGTGTCCACCACCTGACCAGTCGCAGACATAGTTACAGCCAGCCTCCCCACTGCCTGCTCCTTCTCCTTACACTGAGCAGGCAGGAGGTTTAGGAGAGCGTCGTGAGACTGCGTCTCGTCCTGCGTCGCCTGTTCGCGCTGTTCGCACGTGGTCGTCGTGTTCCGCGTCAGCGTCCTCCTCCTGTCCCTGGCACGCACCAGATGGCACTTCGTCCTTCCTCTGGTCCACAGTGTGTCCCTCTGCCGTCTCCTCCTGCGTCCTCTCTTCCTGACGTTCCTGACCCGCCGTCAGACCTTGCTCGTGCTGCAGTCCTAGTGTCACGCGTCTTCTAGCCACTGTTGTCACTGACCCTTCGTTTGAGTCCACTGCTGCGTCTGCTCTAGTTGCTGAGCTTGTTGACTTTGCTGCTGCATGTCGCCTCGACTACGCCGCTAGTCTTGCTGCTGAGTCTGAGTCTGTCTGTCCTCCGTCCGTCGGGGGTGAGTGTGCTCTTGGCACGGGACGTCCTTGAGGACAGGCAGGAGGACTTTGAGTGTTTTGCCAGCTGCTGTACCTCATCTCGTGTTCATGCTGATTGCACCTGAGGGAGACCGGATGCACCAGGACATCCCGACCCCGCGCTCTTACCTAGAGGCGATTTCGGGTCCACTACTCCTCTCAGTGGCAGACAGCCATGGACGCAGAGATTGCATCCTGGAAGTCCACAGGCACTTACGTCAACGAGGTTCCCCCTCCTGGGCGAACATAGTCGATGGCATGTGGATTTCAGGGTTGAAGCTGGCCGCCGGGGGTTCTCCGCCTGTCTTCAAGGCTGCGTTACGTTGCACGAGGCTTCAGTCAGCAACAGGGAGTTGACTTCTTCCAGACCTTCTCCCCTACCCCGAAGACGACCACTCTTCGGGTGCTGCTGCACGTCGCCGCCTCAGCGTGACTACGAGCTTCACTCTCTTGACTTCAGCACAGCTTTCTACAGGGCAGCCTGCATGAGGAGATCTGGCTGCGCCGCCCACCTGGCTTCACTGGGTCGTTTTCCTGCAGGTACCCAGTGGAGCCTCCGACGGCCAGTCTACGGTCTCCGCCAGGCGCCTCACGAGTGGCACGACACACTGAGGAAGACGCTTGCGCTCTTGGGTTTGTTCCTCTACTGCTGACCCGTCGCTGTTTCTACGCACCGACACTTCGCTAACGCCGTTCTACATCCTCGTGTTTCTACTTTACTGCTGATACTGAGGGACTGGCCCTAGTGAAGTCGGAGCTGCAGAAGAGACACACGTGCACAGACCTGGGTGAGCTGCGCAGCTATCTCGGCTTGTAGATCACTCGGGACAGAGCACGGCGCACCATTACCTTGACTCAGTCACACATGGTGCAGCAGGTCTTTCAGCGCTTCCGCTTCACGTACTCCTCGCCACAGTCCACTCCTCTGCCTACCGGTCACTCGCTCTCAGCTTGCCTTCGGATGAGTTCGTAGAGCCGAGTGGCCCATATCCAGAGCTTGTGGGCTGCCTCATGTACCTGATGACCTGCACTCGACTGGACCTTGCTTACCCTCTTAGCATCCATGGCACGCTACGTTGCGCCCGGGAGACATCGACCAGAGCACTGGGAGGCCGCCAAGAGGGTGTTGCGCTACTTGTACAGTACGTCGGGCATGGGGCTCGTGCTTGGAGGACGGGGTCGAGTTGTCCTCATGGACACGCTGACGCTTCTTGGGTTGACGTCTTGGCTACGCAGCGGTCGTCACAGGGTTACACTTTCAGCCTTGGCTCCGGCTCTGTTTCTTGGCGGTCTACCCGCTCGTCTTCTGTTCTCAGTTCCAGTTGTGAGGTTGAGGTCTACGCAGGGGCCATGGCTGCACAGGAGTTACGCTGGCTTACCTACCTGCTAACCGACTTGGGAGAGCCGCCTCGTTCTCCTCCAGTTCTGTACGTCGACAACAAGGCCATGATTGCCTTGTGTCAGGAGCACAGGACGAAGCACATCGCTCTGCGTTACTTCCTTGCACGAGAGTTGCAGCAGCATGGTCAGCTTCGTCTTGCTTACGTGGCCTCTCGGGCCAACACTGCTGATATATTCACCAAGGCACTTCAGCCTTGTGATCATCAGCGTTTCGGTACTGTCTTAGGCCTTGTGCCTACTTGGTCTCCCTTGCTCACTTCTTGACTTTGCTTGTAATGTGATCTACATACTTATACCTGCATGCTTGCACTTGCTAGGTTGTGATCACTGTACTGCTTGCTCTCCATTATATAACTCTGCTTGTGAAGTGGCCTTGTGGCCATTTGCTTGTGCTCAGAGTGTGTGGTGACTTCGTGATCCACCCTGAGCTTGCTTTGCTTTTCTTGACTGGTCTTGTGACCCCTTGTTGTCCCCCACTTTGCCTATGGGGGTGTGTCAAACTATCATGTTGTGTAGGCTGTAGTGGGTAGCCCATATGGGGTACAACCCAATTAGGGTTTGCTACTTGTACTCCTACATGCTGTTAGTTCACCATTCTCGCTTACTGATTCTGACAGCTGCGGCAGGGCCTGTTGATGGGAATGTGGCCCCAACCTCGCGTGGACGAATCCGACTTCGTGGTCGGGTGTGCTGGAGGTGCATGTCAAGGATAGAACTGGAATGATGAATGAGTAGAAACAAGCAGTACAAGGGAGGATATAGCAAACCCTAAGGGGGGTTATACCCTCTACACCATAACTCAATGTAACACCTAGACTAAACTAACAAACTATAACAAGTATAGTTTGACACACCCCCATAGTCTAGGTGACGGTTGTCCTGGGGAAAGCAACACACAACCCAAGAGCAAGGGTCACAGGACCAGTCAGCAAGAACAAGCAACGGTCACAAGACCAGTTCACAAGAACAAAGCAACACTCGGGGTGGATCTCAAGATCACCACACATTCCGAGAACAAGCAAGAGGCCACAAGGCCAGTCCACATGCAAGGATATAGCAGATATAAGAGATGCAAGAGTACAAGACATGCATGACAAGCATCTCTACAGAAGCAAGGGGCCACAAGGTCTGTCCACAAGCACATATATAGGAGATATAGTAAGATGCAAGAGTACAAGATAAAGCATCTCTACGCAAGCAAGTGAGGGCCTGTAGACACAAGGCCAAGCTGGGTGCAGAAACGCTGGTGGTCACAAGGCGGCAACGCCTTGGTGAAGATATCTGCAGTGTTGGCCTCAGAGACCACACGTCGCACGAGTGCCTGACCACGCTGCTGCAACTCTTGTAGAAGGAAGTAACGAAGCTGGATGTGCTTCGCCTTCCCAACCAGTCGGGGCTCCTCGCACAACAGGATGGCAGACCTGTTGTCGGCGAACAAGACTGGGGGAGAGCGAGGCCGCTCACCAAGGTCGGTGAGGAGGAAAGACAGCCAGCGAAGCTCCTAGGCGGCCATGGCCGCAGCGTACACCTCTGCCTCACAGCTGGAACTAGAGACGGACGACGCCCGAGTCGACCTCCACGAAACAGCTCCGGTCCCAAGGCTGAAGCAGTAACCCTGTGTAGACCGCAGCGACTCTGCGTCGTCGGCCCACGATGAGTCCGAGAAACCTGTAAGTGTAATAGGCTGCTTCCCTCCAAGGACAAGTCCCATGCCTGATGTACTCGCCACATACTTCGCCACCCTCTTAGCAGCGTACCAGTGGGAAGGTCAGTGTCTCCCAGGCGCAACAAAGCGCGCAAGGACGCTAAGAGGGTAAGCTAGGTCAGGGTGAGTACAGGTCATCAGGTACATGAGACAACCCACCAGCTCAGGATATGGACCGCTGGACTCAAATGGCTCGTCTGAAGGTGGAGCCGTGAGCCCATGGTCCACAGCAAGAGGGGTGGGCTGTACCTTGGAGAACGGGAAGCGAAACCGCATGAGGATCTGCTCGACCATATGCGACTGCGTCAGGGTAATGGTGCGAGCTGCTCTGTCCCTGGTGATCTGCAGGCCAAGGTAGTGCTGCAGCTCACCAAGGTCAGTGCAAGTGTGTCTCCTCTGCAGTTCCTCCTTCACGGAGGCCAGTGCGTGTCGGTCGGGAGTGGCGAAAACCAGGTCGTCAACGTAGACCAAAACAAAGAAGGGGGTCGAGCCACGACGGACGAACAGCGACGGGTCGGCTGACGACGGAAAGAAGTCAAGCGCTGCAAGAGTCGTACGGAGCGTGTCGTGCCACTCGCGGGGAGCCTGGCGCAGGCCGTAGACCGGTCGACGCAGCTGCCACTGGGTCCCAGGAGGGAAAGTGCCAGTGAAGCCAGGCGGACGACGCAGCCAAATCTGCTCGTGCAGGCTCCCCTGAAGAAACGCGGTGGAGAAGTCCAAGGAGGGCAACTCATAGTCGCGCTGTGCTGCAATATGCAGCAACACCCGAAGAGTGGTCATCTTCGGGGTGGGAGCGAAGGTCTGGAAGAAGTCTACCCCCTCTCGCTGACTGAAGCCTCTCGCCACGTAGCGCGCCTTGAACACCGGTGGTGCTCCAGGCGGCCGCTTCACCTTGTAAAGCCACATGCCACTGACAACGTTCGCCCCAGGTGGCGGGACAGCGTCGACGTAGGTGCCTGTGGACCTATAAGATGCCATCTCTGCCTCCTCAGCTGCTATCCAGTACGAAGCCCAAGGTCTCGAGACTGCCTCAGCGTGAGTGCGAGGGATCGGGATGTCAACGGCGTCTGGATCCCCCTCAGGGGCAAGCAACATGGCGCAGAGATGAGGAACAGCGGCCGCAAGGAAACCAAGCTCGAACTGCCTGTCCTCCAGGACCTCCAAGGGAAAGACAGGAGCACCCCCAGAGGACGGAGAACGAGCAGGGCCACTCACGAGGTGAGTGGCGTAGTCAAGGCGGTGGGAAGAGGCAAAGCCAGCGACAGTGGTAACAAGTGCTGAGACAGACGACAGAGGTGCAGTCGGGTGAGTGACCAACGCGGACAAAACACGGGAGACGACAGGACGGGAGGCACGGAGGTAGTCGGACAACGGGTCGTGAAGCACAGTGAGGGACGACTCAGGGGGCTGTGGAAGGACAGGAGGAGGTGGAACACGAGAGCGAAGAACAAGGTGGAACGGACCGTCTGCACGGTAACGAGACCGACGACGCTCTGGGGACACAGCACGACTGAGGGAGAACGACGAGTCCACTGAGACGAGGAAAGGGACTCAACAGGGGGAACAGGAGGGGACGGTAGGGGACCACGAACAAAGCATGCAGGTGCTGGGTCGGGGAGGTCGCGGAGTCGCAGTCGCTGCTGCTCCGCCTCCTCTGGCGACTGCTGCTGCGGTACCTGCCCCCGCTGCTGCTCCTCTGGTTCCTCCTCTACTCTCCTCTGACTCTCC